GTGTCTCTCAATATGTGTGAAAAGATGAAGGAATTTTCTTTATTAGTATTCTTATACAGGTTGGTCCAATTAGTGACGTCAATATTTTTTTTTAAAATTTCGATCGAAATTTCGCACGTTCCTTACACTGTTTCCTTTTCATTTCGAAAATTCGTTCGTCCGAAATAGTTTGACAATTAAATTCTCCAAGCCTAATCTAATTCACAAAACTTTCGAACGAAAAAATGCATTTCAAGATCATTAAAACGAAAAGGGTAGATACGGCACTAGCCTCACAAAAATGATCCGCATGAATTGTGGTCCACGACCCTAATCGCTTTGGTCACAACTTGACATGCAAACGACGTACATGTGAACGCCAAAAAGAAATATTGCTAATATTTTGTGTTTATATGATAAAACAATGCCCAAGTGTGTTTTTAAAAAGTGCTCAACTTTCTCAAGAACTAAAAATAAAACCCACGGCATCACTTTTCATTCGTAAGTACTATAAAATATATTTTTTTCATAAAAAATCCTGTTTGTTTTGAATCTTATTCGGTAGTGACGTCGAGTACTGGAGCTCTACTTCTCTTTCTCCGAAACGAAATTTCGGCAACGAACGAATTTCAAACGAAATTTCGCCAGTGACTCTACTCTATTTCATCTTCGAACACGCACATAAAGTTCGGAATCACAGACAATTATCGTGAACGAATGGAATGAGTAATGTTTGTGAGTTCTTTTTATCTACACTTTTTAGATAACGTTTTTTACTTCAAAACAGTATTACTTTATGACAACATTTTTTATTACAACACTTTGAAGTATTGGCAATACAATAATAAACAAAAAATTTATTTATTTGCAAATTTTTCATACTAAAAAATGTTCCTCGCGCTAAGCAGCCTTAATTAAAAATACTCTAATAGTAAATTTAGGTTTAATTTAAATAAAAATCCCATAACGAAAATGAAAAGGCAACACTTTTCATTTCGTCAGTTTGAGTTTAATATTTCGGACAATTATCTGTCAAATTCAACTTTTAGTTCAAAAGTTTTGTGAATTAGAGTGGGCTTAGGGAATTTAAATGTCAAACTATATTCGGACGAACGAATTTTCGAAATGAAATAGAAACAGAGTAACGAACGTGCGAAATTTCGATCGAAATTTCGTTTTTCGTTGAAATAGAGTAGGCCTCCTGGTCGCGTGATTGGTCGGTAGTGCAGTGATGCTGATCTCGCCGTCTCGTTCGCGCTGCCGTTGAAACTCAACGTTCTGTTTCGTTCGGGTCGGTAATGCAGTGACGCAGATCTCGCCGTCCCGTTCGCACTGCCGTGGGATCAGTTTTTGTTTGATGCAAGTATGAGCGTACCGTATCTACCCTTTTTGTTTTAATCTAAGCATTTGACAGATAATTGTTCCAAATTTTAACCTCAAATTGACGAAATGAAAAGTGTTACCTTTTTATTTTCATTTTGAGATTTTTGTTTCAATTAAGCCTAAAATACTTGCAAGTATATTTTTAATAATAGCTTCTTAGCTCGAGAAACATTTTTAGCATGTAAAATTAACAAATAAACCATTTTTTAATTATTTATTGTAATTTCAATACTTCAAAGTATTAAACGACAAATTTAGGTTGGCATACAGTAGATTGTATCAACTCTACAAATTAGTCGGCTAACACTGTCAAAGAAGGTTCTTTCAATGTCATCAAAAAAATTGCCGTAAACTACCTATATTATTTCTAAGTAAAAAAACGTTTTCTTAAAAGTAGAGATAAAAAGAATTCACAAACATGACTCATTCCATTCGTTCACGAAAACTGTTTATGGTTCCGAAGTTAATGTGCCTGTTCGAAAATGAAATAGAGTAGAGTCAATGGCGAAATTTCGTTTAAAATTCGTTCGTTACCAAAATTTCGTTTCGGAGAAAGAGAGTAAAGCTCCTGGGCTTCATTTATTTTAATGCTTTAATCGTGTTTCAATTATTTTTGAACATAACATCAAACACAAATGTAACATCTTATGTACACCATATTTTATGCAAATAAAGACTTGTGACTTCTGAAGAAAGACCATTTTTTTTTTGTAAATATGCTCTTTAAACTGGTTAAACTTTTAGGGCATGAATTAAGTTAATTAGGTATTATTGTTAGGTCATTTTCAATTGGGCTGGTAGATAGAGGCGATTTTTTTTTTCACCAATTTAGTCTTTATCATAGTTTGCTTGGGTGATTCCTAGGACCCATGATTTTAAGGGTCATTTGAAATATTAACTGTAGTAATAGACCAACTTGAATAAAGTATCACTCCAAACTTTAATTAACTATTGTAGTGTTGAGGCCCATTGATAAAAAATAATATTTAATTAAAGAAATTGGTTAAATATCCATTTGAAACTGAAAAACGCGGTTATTTCACTAGACTTTTACGTGTCACACGCGCGACTCTTGCTATGTTATAGTGAATATTTTTTTACGCTCAAGGTTATACATGAATATATACTTTTTTAAATACATAAAGAGTTATTCTATTAGATCATGAAAAAACTGTTCTTAAATAATCAAAGTCAAACCTTTATTCGTTCAAATACATGTCACGCGTCGGGCATAGTTTCAATCTCGCGGCGAAACTATGACAATTTATTTAGTGTAATAGGCGGTAATCGTATCGCGATTAGTCCAAAAGATCGCTTATTGACCAGCAGTATTCGGACGGGAAGGTAGTGTCCGTAGATTTCGCACCAAAAATTTTAGGTAAGTTCTTTGACTTCTGCAAATATTTGTCCAACGGGGTAGGTATAACTCGTGGCTCGTTTTGCTGTTGGTTTCACTTAACTGGTATTTGATCAATAATACGTACATCCCTGCCTACGGCACTGGAGTACAAATAAATTCTATTTTATTTATAGTTTTACAATAATACCTTCATATTTGAATTATCGTCAGATTCGTGGTCGTAAGATCCGTGGATTTAAGCCATGGATCTGATTTATCGACCATGGATCTGACCACATAATATTATAGCTTCACTGCCTCCGTGGTGTAACGGTTAGAGTGTTAGACTACCAATATGAAGGTCGTGGGTTCGAATTTCGCGCGGACCAACATAATATCTCCTACGTAGCTGGTTAATCTCGTTGAGATTAGCCGCTGTGGTAGAAATCGACCAGGAGGCCTAATTTTTACAGCTTCAATCATTTTCTTTCAGTTTTAATTGCCGTGGGTTTTTTGAATATTTGAAGTTGTAACTTTCGATTTTGGCGTTTAACGAAGTAGAACCAACCTATAACTAGCTATTCCACCGTTGTGTTCAATACAAATGTGTGTATATAAATTTCATATAATGAGTATTTCAAAACAAGAATTTTGTGTTTTTTATAAGGTACAATTTTACGCCGAATGATTTTTTTATAATATACTTATTTACAGATTTGTTCATGAAAAATCATCTGAAAATGTGTTTATTTTTGTTGAAAAATTGACGTCTCCACTCTCGAATATCTTTAAAAGTAACGCCAATCTTTAAAACTTTATGGAACAAAAGTTCTTGGAATTAGCCAGTATATCTATACCCATTCTTATTTTTAACTAGCTGACCCGGCGAACTTCGTACCGCCTTAGTGTAGCTTTGATGCACTACTTTATTTTGTATAGCTGACCTATCTTATGTATGAGTACCTATTCAATTTGAACTGGAATCTATAATATCCTCCATATACAAATGAATCCTTATTTCCCTGGTCTCGCCATACCTGAGGACTTTACTAATTTTTATTAAATAAAAAAATTATAAAAAAAATAAAAATTAAATAAAAATTTAAAATTAAATTATTTTTTTCCGTAAGAACCTTGTACAGAGTATTAGAAAACTACAAAAAAAAATCAGCCAAATCGGTCAAGCCGTTTTCATGTTATGTCGTGACAACGGAAATCGGGTTTCATTTTTATATATATAGATTAAAAAAATATATCCCCAAGAAGGGGTAGCGTTCACCCCCAGGGTAAAAGCAAACCTTGGCACATTGAATAAGAACCCTAGCAATTCTAGCAAACAATATATAATCTATAATGGGTATTATAGACTTTTTGGTGGTAATCGGTGCTGTTTGCTAGAATTGCTAGGGAATATCATGCATTGACTGGACTATGTATAAATAACGCGCGTTTCATTACTATAGCGCCGAAACTTTTCATAAATTTTAAGTTCTCAGAACGCCCCATGGTTTCAGAACCTTTGATAAAAGATACATAGCATGAGTGTCGATAAAGTCTTGTATGCAACCAACATTCGTGTTTTACTACCGCTCATTATACATCAGTTGTAACAATAATTTAATTTGGATAATAAGCAAAACACGGTAACTGCCTATACTTACATATTATCTGTACACTGAGAAATTCTACAAATTTAATACCCCCTTGGCACGGTAATATTATCTATACAGTATTCTATCTTCATACAAACCGTTGGGCATCCAGTCGCGAATGCGCCGCAGCGATGACCGAACGCTGTGAAAATTGTTTTTGGTTTGAGTCGGTATTTAAGGTACCGGGACTATAGTAAGGATAATTTACAAACTTTATTAATAGTACCTAGTAATGATTTCTTGGAATATGTAGAAAAACTGGAGGAAATAATCCGTACATCATTTAAAAAAAACATATCAATTGTAAAGTAGCTGCAGGTATATATATACAAGTTAAAGATATTCCCTTTTCTGCTCCTTGGCAATGTTTCCCTAAAGTATTTTTAAATAAACTTTTTATACGAATGCGTTTTTAATATACTATTAAATTTAATAATAAAGCTTTTCGTACGTCTCAGTCGAGGCGTAAATATTTTTCTGTCCCAAATTTATATTTTTTTTATTAATTATTACCTAAAAATAACATGTATTTTATTCAACACTTCCTAATTCATTCACAACTTTTTTTTACAAAAAAAAATACATTCACAAAACTAGAAAGAAACTCAATTATGTAGATGAAATTAAAATACTGTAGGCGGGCAGCCCTACCGCGTGTTTACGCCCCGCTCGACCGTAGGCAGTTATTTCAAGGACAGCAGGGCCGAGTCACAATACTGTATAGATAATATTACCGTGCCCTTGGTTTTATGCTTCATCGTCTATAGCAAGGCATTCGATTGCGTTAATTGGAAAAGCCTATGGAAGGTGATATCTGACCTCGGCGTACCTCAACATCTTGTCTCGCTTCTTCGATCACTATATGCCAATAACCGTGGAGTTTTGAGGTTGGATCAAACTCTTTCAAAACCGTTTAAATTTGGTAAAGGAGTGAGACAGGGATGTATTCTATCTCCCATCCTCTTCAACGTTTATGAGGAATATATCATGCGACGTACCCTCGAAGACTGGGAAGGCGGAGTTTCCATCGGTGGAGTCAGAATTACCAACATGCGCTACGCTGATGACACCACACTCGTTACAACTGATGAAGCTGAGGTGGAAAAACTGCTGGAACGATTGGAACGAGCGGGCGGAGAGCGTGGTCTGTTCATAGATCGAACAAAGCAACTCGAGCTCAGTGGGATACTCGATCTCCAATATGTGGACACCTTTATATATCTGGGCTCTCCATATGCAGCGATGGCTGATGCAAACCGGACGTTCGTAAACGGATTGGACTGGCGAAAATCGCGATGACCCGACTAGGCAGGATCTGGACAGATAGATATATCTCACTTAAGACCAAGATTGGCCTGGTGAGAACACTGATGTTCTCGATATTCACCTACGGTGCGGAAACCTGGACCCCCAAAAAGGCAGACAGATCTCGCATTGACGCATTTAAGATGTATTGCTGGAGGAGAATGTTACGACTTCCATGGATAGCCCACTGCACAAATCCGTCAATTCTTAAAGAAGTAGGAGTCACTGTTAGGCTATCAACAGTCTGTTTGCGAAGGCTCCTCAAATTCTTCGGTCACATAGCCAGGAAGAAAAACGATAACTTGGAAGTGCTCCTGGTGACAGGAAAAGTACAGGGAAGGCGACCAAGAGGAAGAAGCTCCATGCGCTGGATAGACCAGATCCGCGACAACACTAAAACTGGAGTCCGCCACACACTGCCGAAGACCGCAACAAGTGGAAAGCGGTCGTCCACAAAATAAATCGTGGAGGTCACGACCCTCAGCAATGTGGAGCACAACACAAGGAGGAGGACATATGGTTTTCGTAAATATAATTGGCATTAAATATAAAGATAATTTGCTATATCAATGAAAATCTTTACTATGATAAAGTTTATAAATATCATGACTCTACCAAATATTTTGAAAAAATATATCAAACTTAAAAATTAACAAAGTAATAGTTTAAAATTACGTACAAAAGACATCAACGATACATGTTTTTATATTTATTTCAATAAATTTCTTTTAATTTTTGTTTTCGTGTATCATTATAATATTTTGCTTCTATACAATAAGAGAGCATTGTAGGGCACAACAAAAGGACCCTCTACCTCATCTAGTTTTCTGTTAGGGGTATATAATAATAATTTATTTCAGATAACTCCATAGTGGTTTAGTAACAAACAAATACATAGTAAAAAGTGCTAAGGTGTATGAATAGAATAAAAAAATACCGTCGGTCGTCTTTATTTCAAATTAATGGGATTTATTTATAACAATTCATGTAATTTATTATCCAATATACCCACATTTTAATACGAGCAGATTATATACTGGCTATCACCTTTCTTTCTACGACGTCCGACTGCGGAAGGCTTGGAACGTGCTACGAATTTACTAGAGTAATTCGTAACACGTACTTAGGCCCATTTGGAACTATTTTACTAAATCTTATCATGTTAAATTGACATTGTCGTTTTTTGTATTTTTTTTTATGGAATATATTTAGTTTTAGAGATTTAAGCAAAGTTGCTGTAAGTGGGTAGTGGTGAGTAGCAACTACTATAATTTTAGATGGTTCATGACCGATAGAGATTTTTTAATAGGTTGTTGAATTTTACTGTTTGCAAGTGGCTGCAATACAAGTGCGAAGATAGAGCAGTACCTATTATAAATGCGAAAGTGAGTTTCTTTTTAGGGTTCCATACGACAAAAGAAAAAAGCGCTAATTGGACCGTCTACATCTGTCTGTCAAGAACCTTTATCTCGGGAATGCGTGGAAGCATCGAGTTAAAATTTAAACGACGTACAAATACTCAGACTTAACTGTTACTCACTCTTACTCAATACTCACGACGTACTCAGGTCTACGGCCCTTTGAAGCTGTGGAAAAAATCTAACTTCTATGTTAACGTACAAAAATATACAGCCATTTAAGTTGTGTACCTAAAACCTATGTTATGGAGAGCGATTCCAACAGGCACTTGTCCGGTTATTTAGGGTTTCATATTCCTGACAAGGAACCCTTATATTTTCGGCATGCCCATCTGTCCGTCCCTGGTTTTGCTTGGAGACTATTAGCACTAGAGAGCTGTAATTTTGTGGAGATATGTATATCAATCACGCCGACAAAATGGTAGAATAAAATTTAGAAAAATATTTTTTTAGGGTAGCTCCCCTACATGTGACATGAGGATGATTTTTTTTCATCATCTACCCCATCGCTGAATAGATCCTTTGAAATTACTTAGGAGTTTCTAAGACTATTTTTCGATTTAGGGATCCGTTTGCGTCCCATCTAAAACCTAAACTATTGGCTTGAAAAACCTTGAAAAAATCATGATAATAGTGCTTTTCATTAACTTTTAAGGAAAACTATAACGGTTAAGATAAATTTGTTAGTTTGAGAGTAAATAGTCGTTCAACTTTGATTAAAGAAAATTTCTTATCTATTGTAAATTCCTTGTGGTAACTACAGGCAACTACGGAATCCCACACTGTGCATGGCACGACACGCACTTGGCTGGTTTTTTGTAACACAAATCGATTAAGATGATTTTTTTAGGCTGAACTTTTCTCTCAAAAGTATAATTAGAAATATCTGAAATATGGGAAGAAAGTTTGTATGCAATAAGTTTTTGACCAAAATTTTCTTGAATTTTTTTTTATTCAGTTATTGCATAATTTACCTACATTATATATGTAAGGACTCCCATACATTGTACTTTTTTATGTAAACATAAATAAACTGTTGCTGCGACTTCGTCTGTATCTTACGATGAGTTATTCCAGAATCCCACAAAAATCTGTAATTTTTTCAGTATAAAAAATATCCTCTAAATTCCGTTCAGCAGTTATTGTGTTATTAAATTTTTCACACTTATATTAATATTAGTAGGATAAATAAAGAAAAAATCCTTTTTTTGTTGTTCACAACGGTTTTAGCCATTTTCTTTTCTGATAAGCATAGAAGAACCTCTTATGTTGGCGCTGAGGAAGGAAAGTAAAATGTCATTCATCACATTACATCACTATGTAATTTTGATATAAGATCTAATAACAATAATTATTAATTAATAATAATGATTATTACATTACATACATTCAAACTCCTTTCTGCATATATTAAAGTAACAAATTTCTAATTGTATAACTTTTTTGTTGAATACGTTATCGCTTTTTTCTTCGGCTAGCTGTTTTGGTAGTTTGTTAAAAATTTGTATCGACTTTTTAAGTTTATTTTAAGTCTGGTTGTTGGAAAAGTTAATTTGTGTCCTTTTCGTGATGCGTAACTTGATTGTATGTCTTGTCGTTTAATAAAATACACTCAACCGCAAAGAAAATGGGTCACTCATTAGTACCTAAGAATTCTGATTCGATTGTCTTAAAAAGTATAAAACTTACAACTATCAAAGTTATACTTACATAAAGTGCGATTAATTGTTTTTCTAACGTGTTATCAACTTAGTGTGTAATCAATCAGGTAACACAATGCTAACTTTTTGCTAATTTTTGTGTAAAGTCAGCCTGTCTTCATTAAAAAATCAACAGTTATTTTAATGATAGTCAGATGGATTTTCTTTAAAAAACGTTTTCCGTGTCACTTCATGACTTAATTTCATATTGAGTATATCCAAAAAATTAAATTATTGAATTAAAGTATAGAAGTCCACTCCCATAGGATAGGATAGAACACATTCAGGGAAAATTTACCCGTTACTTAGCTTATCGTAGTCGCGATTGTTCTCGTGATGCTGAGTACAATAATCATCTCCTTCACTTCAAAATGACGCCATTGGCTGAATGACGCAGACTACCTGCAGGCCAATTATGCTCGCTAATTGTGATATTGTTTTGATGTCAATTTCACATTACGTATTATGCTCTCCGAAAAATGCGATATCAAAATGACATCAACTTATGCGTACTTATTATGATCAACTCTTTAAAATGATATCAACTTAAATGCGTATTACGTTCAACTTTTTGACTTAAAACAGTATCGCAAAAACGTCAAAAATGTGATACAGGATATGATATTGATATGATCTTGATGTGACATAGGAATGTTTCATAATACCAATTTAAAAACAATGTCAAGTTGGCATCAACATCATATTGACATCACATTAAGATTATATCACTAAAGCATAATTGACCCGCTGATCTTATGACATTACATAAGCTTATCCATGGAAAATTAATTTGTCCGTATCTAATTAAACGGGCAATAATAAAGTCCCTTATTGAATACCTAGACACCCCATGTCAAAAAGCTTTGATCTCCCTCATAGCAATACTAGACTTGGTGAGTGTGCTCATCTATACCGGTGTATGCGTACTTACAATGATTTACAGGACTGCAGTGTCGACATTTTTCACGATTCTGAGCGCGTATTTAAGAGGCTGTTTGTGAGAAAATTCAAATTGGACCATAACAGAGACTAAATAATATTATGATTCAGTATGCCCGTTTTTCATGTTAGTGGAGTTCTATTTTGTTTGTTTAATCTGGCATTATACTTAATAATTTTGAAATGCTGTATTCACTTGAAAAAAGCATATCTTTAAGTATGGTATTTGTACTTGTAATTGTTTAATTGTAATGTAAAACTATATGTTGGTGAATCTTTGTCAATAAAATAAAAAAATAATATTGAAAGTTACATAACATGTATTGACGGCTTAAGGTAAGTGAACTTCAGTCGCGTAAATGCTGGCTGGTGTGACAGGCAAGAATTTGCGCTTCTGCTATCCTAAGTCACCTTGCTGATTTAAACCCAATCCTCCAAACCTAAACATTACCAAAATGACATTATATTTTACTGTGATCGTTTGTAAGGTGGAGGTTACTTTTCATAATAGGACTGATACTTATAGGATAAATAATATTTAATCTTTAAAGTTTTTTGTTCAAAGTTATAAAAAGAAGGTCAATGGATAGAATATAATATAGCCTATCTATTGACCTTATTTTTATAACTTTGAACAAAACATTAAAACCAAGACATGCTGTATTCTTTAATATCCAACCTTAATAAAATAAATTCTATAGACATGTCATAGTAATAAATTACGTCCTTTTGTATCATTATTACAATGAACAATATACATAAGGTGTATAACGTGAAACCCTATTTTAAAGTACTTTGCAATTGTTAAAATATTAAAACTTTATTTAATTAATTTCAGTGGGTTATTTTACCGTTAACTATTGCAGTATTATTAAATACAAAATATTCATTTTAAAAGGGTGACAAACAAGCGTATTGCCTACTTGATGGTAAGCGGTCACCATATCATATATATACTATAAAACAAAAATATTACTCGCACTGTTGATATAATGACTATTTTTTCTCAGTACATTTATGAAAATTTAATGTATATTCGAGAAAATATTATATTATTTGCTATAAATAGACATAAGCATTTGCTTAATACTAGAAATAAAAATAAATTAGCTGTAAGTACCTATTATAAGACTCCACAAAATCAATAATTCATTTAAAGGTTTTTGTATACGCTTCTACAATAAAGTCCCTAGCAATACTAAGCGTAAATAATTTAAACCTGTCAAAAGAGTTCTTATTAATAAACACTATTCTAATATATTTCAGACAAAATTGGGTTAAAACAGTTCCATAGGTTCTGACAGGAATCTATAATTATGATGAAGATGATTTGATTTTATATTGACACCGCAACAATATAATATTTTGTAAATAATGTTACATAATAATTTAACACCGTGAAGTTCTTTTCGCCAGTTTTTCTCCACAGCTAAAAAATGCCCATAACTTAGTGGTAGGAAAAAAAATGGACGATTCTAACGAGTTGTATTGTGCATCTAATTTAAATAAAGATTTTTTGACTTTTTTTGCCTACTCTGACCCAATCAGGAGACCGAGGCGGGGAGATATTATATATTTGTCACTGTCTTAATTTATTGAGATTGATCCGAAAAATAGTTTTATAAGTACGTTCTTTTTATTGTTGAGTATCTCTAGATACGGCCGATTACTCAGAAAGATAACGGAACCCTATCAATAAGCCTATTTATATTCATTCATCTGTCAACATTATGGCAGACAGAATTTATATTTGTATTGCCGCTACAAGAGAACACATTAAAATCTTGCCATAGCCTTTCTGCTTGTTCCTAACAATCTTTTAGTAAATATTCTGTACGAAATCTTTACTAAACTCTACGTGTGTGAATCCGACTCACATTTGGAAGATTTTTTGTATGGGTTTAGATTACTTCCAGTGTGTCTGTTATGTATAACTAACAAAATGTATACTAAGTCTGTATTAAAATCATTTTCTCTATTGTATTGCATTAAAATATATCACGTGCATCTATTTGCACAAACTAATTCACTATAAACTTTCTAGCGAGTAGCCGCTGGCCACTTTCTCTTCTATTTTCAGCTAACCGATATATGACAGTCCTATTTATTTTTAAATGGGAGCATCATGCTTTGAGCTAACATTGCGAACCACTTTGCTTAAAGATAAAATCATTTAAAAAACGACATTACATAATTTGTGTTTTTGAACAATACCACGATCCAATACTCAAAATTAATACAAGTTGTGTGAATCACTTTGCTACGATTAAAGCCCAACACACAAACGTTCTTTTTGTTTGATAGAGAAATATATTTTATGAATAAAACACAACTGATATTGATTTAAATGAAAACGGTATGCTTTTATAGCTAAATATAGAAACTGTACATGGCTGCGGAATGGTGTAAACAATATAATTACAGTAAATTAAATTACTAATTCATCATTGGCAATCAATCACCTGGCATTCGTGTGACGGGCCGTCGAGGGCGGGCGGCGGCGGCGGGCGGGCGGCGCACCTGTAGCGAGGCGCGGAGCCCCCTCGCGCGCGCGCTCCAGTCTACGCGCACCCGTGTCGGCGGTCGATGCGCTCGCGCCGCGCCACGGCATCATGCCTCTCTACTCCGAACACATATCGAACATGTACTACAGTGGATCCCCATCATATTCTGGAATGCCATACGGTTACGGATCAGTGTCACCCATTGGATCGTCATACAGTGCCCCCTACCTCAACCCAGGAGGAAACTACAGCACCCATTCTTCTCTAGGAGGCTACACGCGCTCAGCATTGCCGAGCAGATGGACTTCCAGTACCGGAAGGACGTACTCGCCGATGCTCACTACGATTTCCGAGAGAAGCACCGGAAGTCCAGCTCGTATAAGCAGCCCTAGAAGAATACCTATTGCGAAAAGGACTTATGGAACTTCAGGATACATTCCGCGACCGATCAATATAAATACGGCAGATATTGATGTATCTAGGGACAGATATCGTCACAGAGAAAATATTCCCGTGATTAGCCCTAAATCCTCTCCAAAAAAAGAAAATGAAAGTGACAATAAAGATAATGGTCCTTTTATGCCACGAGTTGATGGAAAACCTGAGACAGGAATCGATTCATCGCCCGGGCCTCAGCGAAGTACAATAAAACGTGGTAGAACGGTAGTACGACTTCACACGATTAAAAGACGTGAAAGAGATTCACCTCGTACTTGTTCTCAAGACACGGAAAAGGAAACAGGTAATAACACACCATCTGTGACCAATGAATGCAACAAACAAGAAGAAGAACCACCTGAGAGCATAGGTTGGAGGGAAAAATTGTCTGAAGATTTAATTTATAAAGGTAAAAAAGAAAAGAAATCGCTAGGAACTAAATTAGTAGAAAAGTTTAAAATAAGAGAAGACAACAACGATTTAATCAGTAAAGACTCTTCTAGAATATTAGAAAGCACCCCAAGTTTGTCTGCCAGCTCTACATGTGACAGTACCATTTTAAGTAAATCACCTGAGCGAAGATGTTCGATGGACCTTTTGGCAGAGCAAGCAAGCTTACTAGATTCCTTGATTCGAAGAGAAAATTTAAGTACAACTAGTTTAGATTTAAGTAAAGTGGGTGTTGGAGTAGATGTTAAAAATAACAATGAGAATTTTAAGCCCTTTAAAAGATCAAAGTCCGCTAATTTTAATAATTCTTTGAAAACTACAAAATCAGATCATTCCTTACATGACAGTCTAAAATCTTCCAAAGATTCACGACATATAACTAAACGACGAAGTTTAAAAAAATCATTATCTGGTGGCTCAATATGTAGGTTAGACTCTATTACGGAGTTTCCAAGGGAAATCATAGTTAGCTCTGATTTACCTTCAATCGAAGAACGACTTTCCCCTAAACATGAAAATAAGTCGAAACCTAAACCAAAATTAAAAGCCAAGATAACTTCATCAGTGGAAGTATCACCGCCTAAGAGTCCCCTAAAATTTAAAGTTGAAAATGTCACTGTAGAAGAGATACTGCATACCCCGAAGAAGGAAATAACATATAGTACAGTTATAAGTGATACAATACTGGAACAGAAACCCGAGGAAAATAATGACACGAAAGTGCTGCTGAGAAACGATAAAAGTAGAAGAAGTGTCAAGAATAAACTTAAAAGCACACCTTCATCTAACGAGGAAGCATTTTCTCCAGAGCCGGAAGAAGGTAATTTTTGGGATAAAATAGGAAAGAGGGAAACTGTTTATTTATTGAAACGGAAACAAAATATTGAAGATGCAAAAGAAAGACAAAAGAAAGCACTATTTTGGTTCCCAGAAGAGGAAGAAACTGCACCTGATAATAACAAACCTATTGAAGAGTGTAATGAAAATCAAAATTTAATTGAAAATGAAAATAACACAAGTAAGGTTCATCAAGAAGAATATGGAGATCTTGATTTTATGTCGTCTGAATGTAATTCAAATTCACAAAGTATCAAAACCGAACCTGCAAATACTTCGAGCATAGAAAGAAAAGGCATTACTGTATGTGATGATAATGTTGATAAAATGATGATGTTAGAAAATACATCTAGTAGTTCTAAATCAAAAGTTGAAATAGATAACCAGTCGAACGTAACTAGTCCAACACTTGAGAAAAAATTACAAATTCATGACATGAGCGAATCATGTAATATAAAAGAAGAATCGACAGATGAATCACTTAATTCTTCGATACTTATCGAACCAATTTCAAAACACTCACTAAAAGGAGAAAAAAATGATACTAAGACGGACCACATTAGTAAAACTGCTACTACTGAGGAAAATTATAATGCAGATTTACGAAATAAAAGTGAACCTAATAATAACTTAGCTTCAGAAGATACTCCAATCAAGGAAAAAGTATTAACAGAGGAAATTCAGGAACTCTACGGCATTACGTCAAATGAAAAGCTGGAAAATAATAATGAAGTGGTTAAGATTATTAATGAAAAAGAAGAGACAAATCAATTCAAAAATGAAACCAAAACGACACAATCTATGCCAAAGGTCCCAATACCACATCTAAATCAGGATGACTGTGGTGATGCACCTGATGATAAAACACCTCAAAACCATGAAGATAAAAGTAAACATGATATGACACCGGAAACACTAAACGAAAGTTCACTGAAAAAAGGTCATGCAATAAGTAATGATCTTAAGAAGGTTGAGAAAAAGTTGTTACTCGAACAAAAACAAAAGGACTCCAAAAAAGAACCTCAACCTATTAATACAATGTCAGTCATACCAAAAGATGTAGACAAATTAATAGTGGAGGTTATAATTGAAACCAAAAATAAAAAATGTGATCAAGAGACGAAAACTTCACCAACTAGTACATTAGAACGTGATATTCTTAGAGCGTCAGAAAAAAGTAACACCAACTCATCAAAAACAGAAAAACTAAATATGTCATCAATCAAAGATACGCCTACTAATAAAAATACAGGCTCTGTATTAGTATCCGATATAGAAAACATTCCAAAACCAGGCAAAGTAGAGGTCACCAAAATATCTTTATCACTAAGTAAAGAAGGAGAGGATAAAAAGGCTGAAGATGTCCCTGTTGAGGAAAGAGAAGAAGAAGAAACTAAGTCATCTTCTGTTGGAATCGTCAAATTGCCGTTAGCTCCAAGTCCAAGGAAGCCAGTCAAAGAAGAAGCCGCATTAAGGCCGTTAATAGCAACCCCGAGGCCGCTTCAAAAAAAAGTTCCACAAGTTATTCATTCGTCGAGTTCATCGGAATCTTCATCAGAAGAAGAATCGTCAGACGAGGAAGATGCAGACGAATCTGACGCTAGTGAGGGTTCAGCAGAATTTTTCGAATGCGAAAACAACGCAGACGGAAGAACTTCTACAGGCTCGAATGACTCAGGGTTCGATTCATCAGCGCCCACTTCACCTGCGGGATTTGTTCATATTAAAAAAGGTAAATTTGTTTTAATACCTGGTAGATTAACTACGTCATCAACACATAAAAACAATACACTACTTTCTCACAACTAATTTTCCACTAACATGTACAGTGTCACGAATGTACGCTGCTTTTGCACGGCTTAGAAGCGGAACAAACTCAGGGGTCAACCTTGACGCCCCTTCCTTTGTCGTGAGACATGATGATCTTTGTTCTAGACTGTGACGTAAACTGCCATCGCAAGTGCGAAAAATTGACAGCAAATTTGTGCGGTGTGAATCAGCGTCTCCTGGTGGAAGCTTTGGCGTCCCGGAGTTCCAGAAAAGGTGGGTATACACATAGTTCAAAGGTACTAGGCACCTACACTATATTCTAATATTTGGAGGTCATATCTATTGAACGGAATGTATCGGAAACATTAGCGTCACAGATACGTCAGACGTCCCGCTCAAAATAAAGCAATGTTTTATTGGACGGCTATCGTCTGTAACGGATATTATTAGCTGCACGTGTGAAAATATATTTTATCACAAAATGAAAAAATATATACGAACTCATTAATTCATCATCAATATAGTTTATTGCAAAACAACAAATAAGTAAGTAGGCGTGACGATGAAAACGAAATTTCGTTATCGTTGGATTTGATTCAATGTGATGTCACAATAATCAAATACTCAAAATCAGAATAATGATAGTAATGATATGAATAAAGCCAAGCGTTATACGCAAAACGAGACAGTAAAGTAATAAACGTATAAAGAATTGTGCGTATTTGTTTGTGCCCACGGATATGATTCGGCGTAGGAGTAAAATGCGCTTGCTTCAGTCTGGACTTAGGCCAATCACTTGCCTCTCACCTGTATAAATAATAAATAGCTCCTATTGCTGCTGAAATTATTAACAAATGGTTGACAATACAAGTATTATTAAAATTGAAAAATTAATATGACAATTATCATAATATGATTATATTATAATATTGTTAATAATGTTAGGTACATAAAGCGGTACATTGCAGTTTCTTAATTTGTTTGAAGGAAGTTATCTCTGGAACTACTGGAACAATTTTGGAAATGATTTCACCATTATTCTTGAATGTCACTCGTACAAGCCGGGACGAGGTGGGTTCGGTAGTCTGTTAATATTAAAGCTATGGAATTTTATTACTACAGTTTTTGGGGAACGACTATTTTACCTTAGAATGAGTCACTGTTAAAATTAGTAACAAACATTTGACAAATGAAATTTAAATTCCCAATGATTTATAATAATTCCCATGTCAATCATTGAAATCACCTCATCACACGTATGCCAGCAAGTGTAGCGTCCCGTAGCAATAAATCGATGGCGTGCACTAATAGTCAATTATCTGGCAGGGCTTCAAACGCCACGAGCGTATTTTTATTCCAATTCCTGCTACAGACTATCTTGATGTAGCTATTTATATAGGTTCAGTTTTTCACGGCAAACATTTTGGTTGGTTTTAAATTTTATTTAAACGGTACCACACTATCGACACTTGCTTTTTTGTTCTTTATCTTATTTTTCTTACCATTTCCTAATTCACTTTCTTCTTGACTTTTTATTACACTGACTCTTATTACTATGCACTTTATATCGTTTACATTTTTGCACTTCATTAATGTTTTATTAAAATAACTCTTATCAATTAATGATATAAAAGTTCAAAGAAGGTCAACAAGCGGAGTTTGCGATATCTTAATTTTTTTAACAAAAAAATACAAAGAAGATTGTCGCTCTGTCAAGAAAGTCTACTTTATCGGAGTTACTTAATCTTGGCTAATTGAAATTTGAATTCAATTCAAGTGCTTCTGTAGAAATACATTTTAGGAAAGCAGTTTATTATAAATTTCTTTTACACAGATGGCGAGAGCCCTGGGGCATCAACAAGCACAACGCATAAGAACGACGCTGCTGAAATACTAGAACAAGAGCTCGGTAAAGTGTGAGATGACGATTTAATTGACTGTAGCTTAGTAAATATTTATGGCAAAATGTATTTTGTTTATTCACCAGATAGTTTTTTTAAGCTGCTTTACCGTCTCTAACATTGCTTGCTGCTATTAATTTACATTTCAATACAACTCACGATTCATCATTAACAGCACATGTTTAAAATTTGTTTGGATTTTGATATAAAAAAATCACAAGTAATAGTTATAACACAGCAGATAAAAAAAACTTGCAGATATTTCTCTTAAAAAGAATTACTCCGAATTACACTTAATACCCAAGCTTAATATAATAATTAGAAATAAAATTAATATAGACGTTTTTGCACTCTTTGAGAACGATATTTATAGTGTTTCTTTGCTATTTTCTAAAAGACTAACTTTTTTCAAATTATTTTTATTCTTTTAGATCATCGTTGATAAATGTCCGAATATAACAAACAAACTAGAAATTTGCGTAGTCATCCACGGGCATCATCGCGATGCCAAGGAGGGGCCAAAATGGCGATATTAGTATGAAACATATAAAATATGTTGATGAATGATGAACGTTATATACGTTCATTAACATTTCATTTAAGTGGTATTTTAAATTTTCTACAAATCTGTCTTAATAAACAATTTTTAATAGGCAATAGACAAAGGACAATGGCGAACTCCCATACAAATTTTTGTTGAAAATTTTTTTTGCGTCTATGAATGAATTGCATCTTAAATTATAGAGTTTAGATTCTCGATTTGATTCGTCTTATTTCTATTATTATAGGAAGTCTGGATTTATAGATATTCTACTTTGAAGATTTGGAGGTTATGTCATACTAAGTAATACAAAAACGAATTATTAAAGTATTTTCCAGAATATTTTTATATCAAAATAAAAAATACGTGAACAGAACTATAAAAGTATACGGTTCCCGTAGATTAATGACGAAAAAAATGTTTTTTATAATGTATGGTCAGTGGGCGTAAGTACTTACTGACCAACCGCGTCAAAATACTTAATAATACTAAACAGACCAGGGGCCTGATCGCCTAACTCGCGTTGCTTTAAAAATGCTAAAGTTTATGACGTCACACTGTCATTTGGAAACGCCTATGAAAGCCATAACGCTTTCACATTTACTTTGCGGCCGATGACAGCCATTAACAATTTTGAATGACATCGTTCAATTTCTCGCTACTATTTTGACAGGAAATCGAAACGCCTAAAAAAAGTGAAAGCGATTTCAAGATGGCGGGTAAGCGTTAAAGCTGTCAGATAAGCAGACACCTATAGACTCACTGTTTTCATCTCATGCTTTCATACGATATTTATAATTCAATTTATTTTGCTTTATAAAATTAAAATATAGCTACTTTTGTCTTTTGTTAACCTAAGATTGTGTACTCTTGTAGTTTTTTTTCTGTTTTAGTGAGAAATGGCTCGAATATTTCTGTTGGTGGTAGCTGAGGAGGAGAGCCAGAAGACAATGCTGACCTTGCGAAGAAGACAGTTGCGGGAGGACAGCATGCCTATGTTGCTGCCGGAGCGAACGTTTGTCCAAACGTTCCGCCTGAGTAAGGATAATTTCCTTACTCTTTGCGACGACTTGATGCCGTTTTTGCATCCGACGCACAGAACGACCTAAAGACTATGAAGAAGCATATTTTAACAGGAAAATGTACCTCTCCCTGTGCTTAATGTGCTTGCGGTAAGTAATAATTACATTAAAACCGCTTCCTAAATCTCTTCCAAATGCTTACATGATTACAGAATCACATATTATTTCTATATTTTTGAATAAATGTGGTCTATTGAATTATAATAAAACCTTTTAACAATCAAATACTCTACATTTATTTATAAAACAGTAAATATATGAAGCAACTTATTTTTTAATCAATTGTCTCTTAACAAATTTTGTGTTAAATGAATTATATTATATTAGGAATCACTTCATACCAACAAAATTTAGTTTAATAAAATAACACTTTACACAAAGGTAGGTACTATACCAAAAGCATTTATACCATAACTTTTCAAAAATAATTTCTTGGAATGTGATACTCATATGAAATAAAATAGTTGTTTAAACCTTAATATTATACTCTTGTTACAGATGTGTGATGCAGACTTACATATTTTGCATATGGATGCATCATTTGGTGGTGCAAGTCATGACTCTCATGTTTGGAATTGTTGCCCTGTGATTCACAGGCTGTGAAAAATGGAATTGAAAGACTCCATGATATTGGACAGATCTACTGGTTCTTGGGTATGTGTATTAAAAATCATTTGTTATCATTTTATTTGAATATTTTCATACAAAATAAGTGTTTTTGTATGTTAGTATTTTTCAGTGTTAGTTTTACAATATTTATTTTACAGATGACTCTGGCTATGCCCGAAGGGCATGGATGATGACGCCAATCCTCCATGCTGACCCAGGGAGACCAGAGGATCACTACACAAATTCACATGTGCGGACTAGGAATGTCATAGAAAGATGCTTTGGCATCTTCAAGACCCAAATCAGAAAGCAGGGAAAATCTTAAATGCATGTGTTGTTTTACACAACCTTATTTGCGACTAATGTATCAAGATTGATGAGGATGTCATGCGTGTGATCATGTCCGCCAACCACAGCGTGACATACTTGCCACAAGTGGAGACAGGCCTGTCCGTGGCATCTGTCCTGCAAGACAGTCAGTTACTCTGGAGTAGTCATAACCATAATTGACCATTTAAAACTGTTTACAGAAACTTGTGTGAAGAAGGATCTGTGAGCAGAGGCACCATACAAGATAAAATAGGTATTATAAGTTTAGTTTACAATTTATTGTATTTTATTTTTATTATACTAATTAATTATTAATTAGCACCTAAGTTTAATGTCTAAATTTAACATGTCATTTTTATATCTTCCTGTATGTATTGGTAGCTACATCATTTGATGTAAATGTTAAATGCTGATGAGTTTCTTGCGCCCATTCTTCTCACCAGCTAGAAGATGTCCTGTGTGGTAGTAGGAAAAAAATGTAGGATGATTAAAGAGCTCTCAATAACTTAATTTGAATAAAATATGATTTCATTTCAAATTTGTTTTATTTAAATACAACTTTTGAATATGTACTAACTTTAAATGAGAAACTAGTTATTATTAATACTCTAGTTTAATTTGATTTATATAACTGTAATTTTATAAGTTGTTGTTAAATATTCATAACAATAAAATTTATTTCTTATGTTAGTGTTCAAATATTCTAAATTTACTTTCTATTAGCAAGTTACTAATTGGGTACAAATTGAATTTATTCATTTGAGAAATAAAAGGGAAACCCCTTGGACAAAGCTGGCTTGGAGAGCAAAAACTGGAAAAAGTTTAAGGAGGCCTTTGTCAAAAGGCGCACAGAGTTAAAAGAGTATTAAAATGAACACAATAATTTATTTTTATATAAACAATGTTAACTCTGAATATAGACTCTAAATAAATAAATGATTTCATTTCAAAACTGTTTCAAACTTTTTAGTAGGTACTAATCAACTTTAAAGAAATAATTTCATTTCCTGACTACCCTATTGTTGAGAAGCATGGTAGACCTTGTAACTGTGGTCACACCGCTATTCAGAAACCAGCCAGTATGTCTCCAAAGACCTACTAATTTAATAACACCTATTAGCTATTAACTCTTAATAGATTTTTATTCTACTTTTTTACTCAATGAACAACAGCTGTGAGACCATGACCTAGTAAAAGGTTGCAAGGTGATAAAGTTGAGGAGGGATCTTACGATAATAATATTCAGTAAATAAAACATTCAGTAGTATTGCTGTTATATTTTAGTAAAAAGATTACCATAAACAACTTCAGATACAAATGCACATTATTTATTTCCATGAGTTACAGTCTTATAGAACCAACATAATACATGAGTAATATCTCTCAATGCTCGGAGCACGTCCCTCCGCAATTGCTGTTCCTCCAGTCGCCGCTCCTCAAATTTTCCCCATGCAGTTGACTGTCGCAAAGCCGGCAGTTTTCCAGCTCAAAAATCCAATACAGCTGAAACAAATTACCAGCGTTTTTTAAAAAGGGATTGTTTGTATTTTCCAGTTCTTGAAACTTATTAAGTGGTATGTTATTATTCTTTACAAATGAGTCTATGAGTCCTACCATGTTACATGAAATTAATCAATGGTAAAGATATAGACCTCCAAAGGTTTTTATAGGTAACACTTTACTCTTGGTACTTTCCATAGGATGGATGCTTAATTAAAACAGATAAGGCAACATAATTGAACTTACAATGTTATTAAGTAGGTGAATAAAATAACATTGATTGATCATAAGCCAGGCTCAGCCAAATAGAAAAAAAAATAGTTAAGCTTTTAACAGCACCTTATGTATGGGGAGTTACCATTTTCAAATTAGTAATTGAATTCCATGCAATAGTACAAATACAGAACACATAACAAGATGCCTTATAAACTTTATACAAAATAATAGTAAAGTACCACTTACTTTAAATCACCACTCCTTTGGTGTTTTAGTAACATCATTAATTGCGTTTAGGAGGGACGCTAAACTCTTCCATAGGCCCATCGAAGCCTGTTTGGCCTGTGCGGGGCTGCAATTTGCATCCCTCTAGCCTGGAATGGGTGCTCCTCCATCCATATTAGTAAGGCCTCCAACTGTACGTTGGAGTTGTAGACTTAATATGGTGCCGGTTTCTAAAATGTTAAATAAGTACTAAATTATAATGACGAAGATGCGATTATCTTTGACAAAATTAACATGATCTTCGTGATAAAGTAAAGTTATTAAATTTCTTGAATTATTTTTGTTTACTCAAAAAGTACTTACTTAGTCAAGTTTCTTCGATGTGATACTTTCTTTCTAAAAGTTATCAGATATCTAATTTCTATGCGACGTATGCTCAATAGTTTCGAGTTTGTTATATGTATACTTGACATCAGCTTGTCCTTTTCATTCTTTATAAAGCATG